TTTAATTAAATTGTCTGATAAGATTATCATCATATAAACTTTAGCCTTATCCCAACTATTTGTGATTAACTTTATGAATCCTTATTTTCAATTGTTTCTGCTGAGTGCTTTTGTGGTGGTAAACTTACTCTTCACAATATCAAAATTTATGAAGGGAAAGGGAACAAGCTAAGAGATCATCAAATAATAAAATTTGTCCTCAGCTCTGTGTTAATAGATGATATCTCCAGGAAAGACACTAAGATCTATCTGCTATTGATGAGTTTTGTGAGTGTTTGTCGTCCACGATTTTTGTGAGGGATTCTAGCGGCGTCTACAAATTGGGAGAGAAGGTCCTCTTATCGAAAGAATACCATTGTTTCTTGCTTGTTCATTTTTCTTTTCTGATCAATCAAAATCTATTGGTTTGCTGAAATTTAGTGTTTGCTCATTGATTTTTGGTACCCAAGTTCTATTAAATTGGTATCATAGCAAGTTCTTGGGATCGATGACTGGGAAAAGAGTTGAAGCGTTGGAAGAAAGGTGAGGTGGGGGGGGGGTTAGGGAAACTGCGAATGGATATGGGTTCATTGAATGAGTGTTTTAAATGATTAAAGGAAGGTTTGGAAATCTCGAGGAGATGATGAAACATATGTTAAAGAATGAAGCTAAGGCGACTCTGTCGGAAGCATGGGGGAATCATGAAAATGATATGCTGAGAGAAGATCAGATGAGGATGAAATGATAAAGCCTGTTGGTTCTTGTGTAGAGAAAGATTCATGAAACTACGATCAATTTATGATCGTTCATTTTAAATTAGATGGATAAAATTTAATCTTAGCATAAATAATTTATAGCCTACATTTATTAAATAAATTATAAATCAACCAATGCTATCATGAACTGTTCTCTCGACTTGTTAAGTACTATTTAATTGCTTTTGCTAAGAATTGGGTAGAATCAGGAATACCGTTGGCTAGACCAATGAACTGGTGAACCGGTGCGGTTTCATTGAATTAATCGGTTCATGTTATGACCAATTTATGACTGTTTATTTTGAATTATATGACTAAAATTTAATCTTAATATAAATAATCTATAGCCTAAATTGATTAAAAAATATTAAATAATAAAAAAATTCGTTTATTACTATAAAAAAGATGTTATTGACTTAAATATAGATGATGCTTAAATTGAAAATTATAGATTTATTTTTTATATATGTTTTATATTCCATTAAGTAGTTTTTTTTGTTTCTTTGTCACATATTTCTATCATTATTATGCTATTTAAGTAATATTTAATTAGATTTTATATTTATTACATAGCTCAGCCTTGATTAAATTCCCACATTAAACCTTTCTTTCTTTCGGTTTAATTTTTGGCACTGTTTTTAGAACCTTGGTCCCTCCATTCAATATTTGAAATTGCTCCATGATGCTTAAGACAAACAAACCTCATATCCTTGTTGTATGGCTATGTAAATAAGTTTACGTCCATATGAATGTGATCCGAAGTATTTTATTTTACAAGTGACCCGATTGCCTACTATCATTTATCAACAGCTATTTCACAACTGCATTTGGGAGCAGTAGCCTCTCACCACTAAGATTAGAATTTTGAAAACAATACTTTAGCTGTTAACGTTTCATAATTTTAGTGTTGAAACCATCTTGTTGGGGTGAATTGTGAGGTTTGGCGTTCAAAGGTTGCCCGTTGGTATGTAACTGTGAAGCTAGGTATTTCCTTATGTACGAACCTTTTGGGTCCTTAATTTTGTCTTTAGCTAACACTAGGGAGAATATTTTATTTGTCGAAGATCATATAGGGCATCATTCTCTGTTCTTTGTTACTTTTAAGTATATTCTTATTTTATACTACGATTAAATAAGTGTATTGTGTTGGCGTGACCAATAGCTCTATCAAATTTGTGCTATTCAACCCTCTTAAGTTTGGTGGTGGTGCTTGATTTTATCCTCTATAAGTTATTGAAATTATTATTGGCGATTTCCATTGTAGGCATTCTCTTGTTATGGCACTGGAAGACTTATCATGTAATTTTGAAATTGCTTATTGCCTGTGGTTTGCTTTTTGCAGCTTTCCTAGTTGCGGTATTTACATAGTCTGTTGGATATTTGTTGTTTTATGAACTTATCCTAATCCCATGTTATTCAAACCGTCACCCTTTTTCTTATGGGATTCGTTCCTTAATGTTTTAGCTATTACAACTATGGATTGGGGATTTAGGAAAAATTCAAATTGAGTATGGAATTAAGCTAAATTGAGCTGATTCTATGTTAATTATATCTACTAGCTTAAGGGATGATGCATCTATAAATTATTGCTGTGAGGCATGGATTGATCTATTAGTTTAATTATAGTGTTCCGTGCTTAGATTTAAAGAAATCATGTGTTTGAATATATTTGGTGGTTTGTGATATGTGAGTCCCTAATTTTCTTTGTATGTGTGTCTACTATGCATCATGTTGGCTGAATTAGTAGACCGTAACTTCAATCTTCCTCTATTAAATTGACTTCCTTAAAGGTGATTACTTATGCAGATTTTCACTGTTTTCTTTAGGGATGTAATGGAGGTAAGAGCCCTTGAGGTCTTGAAACATGTAGTAAACATATTTAGTTTTAGAATGTGTAAATGCATAGCAAGTGTATCTACCAAATCTTCAACTGTATTGTGCTTCTCATCTAGGGCTATAAATGAACCAATTCAATTTGAGCACCATTTTATTCAAGCTTGTTTGTATTTTTTTTTAATTAGAGTTTGAGCTGAGTTTAAATGTGAGCCAAGTTGTAAAATGTTATCTAAATTATTTATTTATTTATTTATTTTAATTTGAGTAATAATTGGGCTTAATTAATTATTTTGTAAGAAGCAAATGCTTTAGATGTATAATCATAGTATCAAATATACAATTATTAATTTTTCATCAAAATTGACATAATTCACTTTATTTTATTTCTATTATTTTTTGAAATTCAAATGTTTATAAAAATAAATGAACATTAAATTGAACCATCTACCTATTTGCATAAGATAAATTTCCATCTTGTTTATACCTCTAGTATATACATCATCTTTAAAGTGAGGCCTATTCAAAAAAATTATATGTAAATATATAATATCTCATTAAATAAACAACTAAATCATTAATGAGCGAGCATGCTCGCGTTCCTGTTAAGCAACAAGCAAACATAATTAGGAACATAAATAAAAATGAGTGGATTAATGTTCAAGTTTTTTTATGCCTATTCTTTTGGTATGGTTAAATGTTCTAGGTTCTTAAGGGTTTATTTTTTAGGGTATGAGTTTTGTTATAATTGTAAAAAAAGCTGTCTTTTTGAAAGACATATTAAACCTTGGTTGCAGATAAGCAAGAGGCTCGTGCATACTCAAAGTATATTTCTTCTTTTTGTGGAAGGTATGCTACTCTTTAATTTTTATTTTCACCCTTTTAAACTAATGTTTGATTTTATCATTTCAACACTACCAAGAATTTTATGGTTACTTTATATGATTGTATTTTTCTTTAGCATAACCAAGTATACGATTGGGGTTCAATTGCATTCCTAAATCTCATCAAATTTATATTCAATAGTTACTAATTGTTTGACTTAATATAAATTATAGGAATGGCACCTTATTATGTGATAATTGGCCACGCATTGTGGCCCTCTTCTTTCCTGCGGTTCACAAAACCACTGCATTATGGTTCTTTTCCTACCACACTCAGCCTCTTTCCCTCTTTCTAAAATGAAATCACTCTCGTTTCTCATGACTGCTATCTTGCTCTTTCTAAAACTTACATGTTATTGTTCAGTATTTCTGGCCCGTTTGTCCCTCATGTGTAGCCGTCTCCAAGGCCCTTTCCACTATGATTTCCTTTGTCTTCTTTTGCACTATTGTCATTGTGCTCATGAATTTACCATTGTTCTCTTGATTAGCAGCTTCTGAATGCACTTAAGCAATTAAATTTAGAAAGAAATAAGCGAAATAAAAAAAATAAATAAATACAGAAAATGAGCTCGTTATGATTTTGGAAAAATAAGAATTGGTGGTTCCCAATGTTGTGGGCGAGAGGTTGTTTAAATTGAGCTTTCCCATTGTTGCAGGCACTATGAGTGTTTATGTGGTGGAATCTGCAGGCATTTGTTGTGTTTTCCCTTTTGAGTTCTTTTGAGTTGGAAGTGGAAGTGAATGAAGGAATGAATTTTTTGGCAAGTGCCGAGGATAATTGATATTTTGGACTTAACATGATTATGTTTGTTTCATGGAGAAGTGGGCTAAGTAAAAGTGAGAGCTTGGCCTCCAATGGGGACTTTATAATGAGGTCTAGCATGCATTGTTGCTGGAGCGCATGCAGGAAATTATAAATTTCTTTTAAGTGGCGTGCATGCTTTTCAAGCATTTGTACTTATGCATTTGTAAGATCTTCACTGTATTATGCACAATGCGTATGCATGCGTCTAATCTATTGGCATATTTTTCAACATGCTTGTGTGATGAATTTGCATGCGTTTTGTTGCATTTGCATTGTTGGGTTGTTGCATGCTTCTCAAGGTAGTGACTCACTTCTCAAGATGATAGTACTCTTCTAGGCGTTGTTGCATTCTTCTCGTGGCTGTTGTACTCTTCTAGAGGTGTCGACACGCTTCTAGAGGCGTCGACACGCTTCTAGAGGCGTCGACACGCTTCTAGAGGCGCCAACACGCTTCTAGAGGCGCCGACTCGCTTCTCGAGGCAACGTGCTTGGGTTTTAGAAAATTATATTTTAATACATGCAATATTTTAAAATATTTAAATGTGATATGTGAGGGTTTGTCATTGAGTTGTGCTGCAAC